CACCGATTGACTTTTGGATGTTACTTTGAAAGTGTATATTTAGTTTTAATCATTTATAACTAAAAAAAACGGAATTTCTATTATTATATAAACACTACTTTCAAGTCGTAGTGGTTATTGATTGTCAAAACAACTCAAAACCGGAAACGGAAGTTCAGTTTTTCTAACACATCGAAGACAATATACCACAGTTTTAAATTTTCAAAGATGCATCCAATCAGAATAGATTTTTTTTTTTTCAAATTTGAAATCGAATAACCAATAAAATGTTATATATATAAATTGATAAAAATCTAATGTTGTTTTTTTTTTTATAGTAATGAAAGAAGACACNTGAAATTTCGACAGACATGATGCAATAAATGGGATTTTTGCGAAGTAAAGGCTATTCTCGAGAGCTTCTAAGAAATTGGTTTTAAACGAGAAATAGTGCAGGAGTGGATGAAACATCCCCTCCTTTCGACATCTTCCCAGAAAATTTAAAGATGCCGAAAGAGTTATCGATCTATTATTCATTAGAGAAAGCGAAAGATGTCTGGAGAATCCGTTTGTCATCTTCACTAATTTAGGATTTAAGTAAAATACTTTCTTCGCCCGTCTCTCGTCGCGAGCGATTTAAAAATTAAAAAAAAATAATAATAATAAATCTCTACTAATTATGTCACAAATTCATTCAAAAAAGGAAAGGTATATATATATATATTTTCTTCTTCCATTTTGACAGTAGCTGACCTTAGAAACACGATACGACCTGTCGTTTAACCACGCAGAATCTTCCTGTAAACTAATTTGATAAAGTCAACACCCCCAGATAAGGAAATTCTAGTAGACTCGAACGAACTCCGACCTCTTTTTATCACAGTAATTCTATATCTATAATTAAAACAATTTCTATAACCTCTAGAAAACTATTGGTCGAAGATAGGAGAATTTTTCGATTATAGAAAATCGTAACTTGTTTCATTCTAGGAGATTATAAACTTCCAGAATCCGCAAAGATTACAAGAGAAATAAAGCTTTACTTATCGCAGCCGTAGGCAGTTTTATGAACAGAAATGAAAGGAAGGATTTGGAACGAGTGGGAATTATTAAAATGTATAAAAAATATATATATATATATATTTCATAATACTCTCACAAGAATAGAGAATCGCGAGTTATAAGAAATACACCGCAGTTTGCGAGAAGCGATTTTGTCGCGTCGTTATAGTTTTCTTGCGAAATTGCTGAGAATTTTTGAAAAATTGTTCCGATTTCGAGAGTATACGTTTCACTTTGTAATAACATCCGCTTATAAGCTGAAACATAATATAGGCCTACACTTAAAAATCAGAGCGAATTTTTTTTTAGAAGCTTTAAAAAAATATATCAAGAATGTTTATTGACAGATGAAGTTGTTTGTTTTAGTATTTTGATTTATATCATATGAAATCGCTATCAACAGTTATTTCTATTAGAGATTTGCGGTTTGTTTTATAAACGTATTTATCTTTTAGAGAAGTCGCAGATCGCGTAGAATCATTGGCGACTTCTCTAAGCGATTGATTTTTATTTGGCTTTTTACACGCAGAGAAATCGGCACGATTCGCAATATAAAGTGCAAATCGCAAATTTGCGATTCTGTACTTGCGATTTATATCGCAAATCTCGTAAATTCGTTATCCTAAACGGTTTTAAGTAGAAAAAGTTGGCCGTGGATAGAAAAATCGGCGACAAAACGTGCAAGGTTTTATTTAAATTTCACTTTAAAAAATTCAACTAGGCGGCGAGAATTTTCGATTTATTTCTTGAAATTTGCTTCGTCGCTGGCGATTTTTTTAAGATGTAGGCCTATACGTGTGTGTGTATATACGTACAAAATAATAATAACTGATTTAATGAAGAGAATGGCCTCAAATCACGCACCCGTCACGAGCGAACGACGGAAGAAGAGACCCGCTCGTCATGACAACCCAAATTTCAAAACTCGCCTTTCTCAACAAACGAAACGTCCTCAATCCTTTACCTCCTACGCACCCGAATAATTGACTCTTCCGTGACGTCACCAGACCTTCTTCCTACCCCTAGTATACGGCTCTTATCACTTAATAGTCACACTACCTCTAGGCATTAATTAACCTTGACGAAAAGTAAACAAATTTCCCACTAACATATAATAGATTAGTCCCAAAACACTTGGATTCGCTGGAAGAGTGACCTTGACCCGAGTCGCTTCTTCTGAATCTTTTTTTTTTCTTCTGTAGTTTAGCCGGAGCATCGCGCCTTAATAGACAATGCTACGAGTGTTGCGACACGCGGTTGATAAAACTACAGTGGAAGAGATAGCGCTACACCTAAAACGAGTGGAGTGCGTGTGTTCCTCGCGCGCTTCTCTTCCTTTCCCCCCACCGCTTCTGTAGAGAGTAACGATAATTCGACCGGAAACCTCTCAAGATTTCCTGACGTCATCGCTTCGCACCCTCCTCGAGAATGGCTAGAGACGTTTCCAGTTTGATTGCTAATTAATGTCGATGGGAGGTTTTAAACTGCCAAGGTTAATTTATCTTATCCCCGGCCTTAATCCGGATTAGGATCCAAAAGAGACATCTTAATCTGTTTTCGAAGGATCATCGAGATCGGGATAATTAGACTAAAGGAAAATCCGTTTAAGTGCGTTAATATTGGTGTCGGAGAGATTTTTTAATGCCTCTTCGGTGACGAAAGCGCGTTTGGTGTCGATTCGGTGTCTTGGTCGGTGCCACTATAAAAATCCATTTGATTTAATTGGCGTCAAGGACGAGCGCGCGGTCACGTGACGACGGGATTTCGCGTAACGGAGTGAATTTTAGAACGAAAACTTTACCTTGGAAAGACGTCTACGAACGATCGTGACCTACTTTTGTTAAGGACGGGGTGGAGATCGTTTAAGAAACAGAGTAAATTCTCGAAGGATCACTAACCTGGAAGATGAGAGTCTCTGGGTTTCCACCATCGATCCCTTCTCAGATAAATCGCTCCCTTTCCACTCAGCCTCTCGCTGAAGCTCCTGACAAACGTTCGGTTTACTTTACCCGATTCTGGATACATGGCAGGCACGTGCGGCTCATCAACATCACGCGTGTAGCCGGAACTGGAGAAGTGACTGAGGCTGGCGAGTCTCGATGCTAAGAGTAGGAGAAACGAGCCGTGACTGGTTGCTAGCCGGCGCGGGCTCCCGCCTCTTCTCCGTAACAGGTGTGACGCTCCTGACGTCACTCGTATCTCACAAAGAAACGCGTGTTTGAATTGTCGGCCGCTACGCAGTGCACCCCTTCTCGATTCTGTTCTGGAAAGAGGCGCAGAGAGAGCGAAACGTTCTGACACCTGCGTTAATTAGTAACCAATGGCGGGCAGCGAGGAAAAACGAGACTTTTCTACTTGACCCGACACCACTTCAACCCGAAGAACGGGCGCCTGTTAAACAAACAAATGCCGTCGGGCCGGACACAAGTGGCCACTCCAAGTGTTAAAATTTCCATTGTCACGCTTCAGACATCGTGACGTGAACGGTCGAGTGGGCGAAGAGAGAGTATACAGCACGTCTATCGATCACAACCGATTCCTCTTCCCGATTCGAATACCGTAAAATGCAATTTCTGTACCCATTTGAATGATAATGACCCCCATTGATCGACCCGTTTCGTAAATGTCATCGAGTCGCTCGACGCGCTCCCTCTCTCCAGACGGGCGTAACAATGACCTTAAACCAAGACGACGCGTGACACTTCTCCAATACGCTCGTATGCCTTAAAAATCGAGGCGGAATCCGTTACCGTGACGACTGGTTCGATTTTAAGTCGGGTTATTTTCCTTTCTGGATTCTTCTAGAGAATGCAACAGCTGAGTCAACTCTCCCGCCATTAACCAAAGGCTGATTCGATAAAATACTACATAAAACGAAAAAGCGAGTTGCAGAATCCAATTTATTTTTATAAAGATGTCCGCACAATAGAAAAATGGCCGGCATCTAATATACATAAAAAGCGGTTGCATTTTTTAAAACTGCCGCATAAAGATAAGTCATATGGCGTTTAGTAGTTCGTATCTTACCTCCTGTCATGTCACATTACTGTTCAGGATTTTGCTTTGTATTAAAATATACGACTCATGTTGTGTTCACACTACATTTACTGGTTTTTATCTTTGTTCGCGTGTTATAATTGTATCTCATCGGCTATATTCTTGCACCACAAACACTAGACATTGTATGGTACAAGTGTCTTGAGTCATCTTTATCCTTCATTTAGTGGTTGAGTCTTAAGTGGTACTATGACTAAGATATGACCGCCGGACATTGTTTCCAGTCATAAGATGAGTCGTAAACACAAAAGGTAAAATGGACACTAATCATAAATATATTACAATACCTTTAAGCCGTGATAATAAGTAACTAAGTTGTATTTAAAACATGTGACTGTATTTAATTAAGTATTGTACGATTTCAAAGCCTGGTATGTATAACACCATCTTCGTATTGTGTAATTTCGATATTAAATTTTATTACACCGCAGTTTATTGCCAGTTTGTAGATATTAGCGGTAACATGACAAGGACGATACCCGAAATCCACGTTCGGGAACGATAAAAGGAGATCGAGTTCAAAAAAAGGGGTTAAGGGGAGGAAGAGGTTAACTAGATCTTCGTGAATGGCGCTGGGTTAACGAACCGTCCCTTCCGGCAATCGTGACATTTGGCCCGGGGAGATCGTGGATCACGTGACTGGCAGGGGAGAGACTCGTAAACTCCTTTACGGCGAGGGAATTGATAAACAATAAGGTGCCGCGTTCTATCCACTCGATTAAGGTCCCTGCCCGTGGCCGAATCGGAAAACTCGACCCCGTTTCCACCAAAAGCGATGATTAGCCTACATTTCGATGTCGCGTTTTACGACAAGGTCGACGGGCGACGTCATCTCCGTCGACCAATAACATACCACGTTTTGTAATTTAAAAAACAAAAATGTATATAGGAACGTAACTCACCTGTAAATTTCGAGTGATTAATCGAGACGAAACATATCTGTAACGAGAAAAATAGTAAATTAAATAACGTAGAGAAGGAAAAAAATTAGAAATTTGACGATTATTATTCCGAAGGTGAGCGATAATTGTTGTTTTTGTTTTTTTTTTTATAGTAATGAAAGAAGACACGCAAAGGAACTAATTCTCACGATGTAGGATAATATTGTTTACGTACGCGCTAACAAGTCGGACACGACCCATTTATTATATTTAAATTAATCCCGAACCTATTCTTTACCGGAACGGCCCTCTTACCGTTAACCGCGCCATCTATTGTCGACTTTTAAAACAATTTATTGTTAAATATAATTTGTAATTATTTCAAAAATTCGACATCGTTTTTAATACCGTCGGCGCGTGCGTCACGTCGCATTAAAATTTATTTTCAGAAACGTTATTGTTAAAGGAAAATACGAATGCGGAGTCGCACATATCGATCGATGACGATGATATATATTTAGTATGCACGCCATGCTACACGCTTGCTCAATGATTATTTTTACTGTTTATGAATAATTTAATTAAATTTTTATAAATTAATAGATTTACTGTCTCAGAAGAGTAAAAAAAACCGGTTGTGACGTAAATATCGATATAAATCAAGCACAAAAATTAACGTTTTCGCGAGCGACGACGCGATTAGTCGCTTCGTCGCTTGTTCGCGTTTTACTAATACAAAGCTGAAATATAATTTTTTTTAACACCGTAGCGGATATTATAAACGTTTTTAATGATTATACTTATTTATATTTCAATGAAAACAAGAAAATTATTGTATTTAGTATCTGTTTTGACAGACGATATTTATGATTTTATGGCTAATTTGTATTGCCATTTCTTTTTTAAATAACTAAATTTTGAATAATTGGAACTGTTAATAAAATGAGGATTTGGTTCGTAATATTACGAATTATTACTGTCGAACGAAGCGTGGCCACGCGACATTAATAGCCGCCATGCCAAACAGCGCATGTTTAATTGTTTATCCATCAAACATTAATATTCTGTGATATTTTATAATTTAAAAACTCGTCTAATTTCTTTTTTTTTAATTTTAATTTAATAATAATTTTTAAAAAAAATTGTTTGAACTTACCGAATCGTCTACGTCTACATTTCCGGAAGGAGTGCTTTCGCCGCTGGACGAAAGATGGCGCTGCAACGTAGGAACGGAAGACGACTTAACGATGAGATCCGGAGTTACCACGATAGTTTCCACCCCGCTATCCGGCGTTATATCGCCCTGATTGGCGTTAAGAGGGGAAATAAATGTAGTTTTGGCATCCTTCTTCTGCCACGTGACCTCCACTTCACGCGTATCATCCGGCAGCACGCTAAAATCGGATTTTAGCGACGTTGCCGACGATAAAGACAAGCTGCTGCTGCTGCTGCGCCTGTTACTGATAAGAACCGAAGATTCCGAAGAAAAAGGCGATGAAGTGGTTTCCTGTTCACCAATGTCGGAAGTGGTGGTGGTGGAACAGGAGAAAGACAATTGACTGTGCTCAGAGATGGAATCCAGATCACTACAGTCGCATTCCGTAACCCAAGTGAAACTAGAACTAACAAATAAATGTATCGGTTTAAAAAAAAAACCCTATTTATTAATTTAAAGAAGCAAAAATGAACGGTTTATTCACTTTCTAGACAGCTGAGGCGTTGTTTGAGTGACAGCATCTTTACGCATTACGATCGCCGTAACGTCTTCAGTTTCTACTTCTTTATTTTCGGGAGTCGGAGGCCTGTAAGCGCTGCTTTCCACCTTCTTCATGAAATCGCGAAGTTCCGTGTGACTCTGAAAGACATTTAAAACAATTTTAGGAAAGGTAAAATCGATCGCGTCACGAAAAAATATGTCAAGAAAGGAACACCCATATACCACTTTAGAAAATGATGCCGAGCGATTCGGAAGAACGTCTCTGATTGGTGGTTTCCTAGTGAATTCTTTAGGAAGTGACGAACTGTATTGTTCCTTACACGTCTGAATTTCCGATCTAGCGAGATTTTCTTCAGACTTGCATCTTTCTATCTCTTCGGATTCGGAATCTTGGTCCTCTTCGAATGGTAAATCCAGGTCACAGGAATCGAACGTCATTTCCTTTTTGAAGTTCATTTCGGAGGCGAAAATGTCTTCCTCGCTTAACTTCGCTTGAATGGATACGTCGCGATTGTCACTAACTTTAAAATCTTCACGAACGTAGTCATTTGAAGAATCTTCATAGTTGTCGAAAGAATATATGCTGGATTGTTTGAAGAGTTTCTTAAAGTCTTCGTTAGTAAGAGAAGTTAACCATCGTCCGTCGCAAACGTCCGTCCATTGAGTTTGAATTTCTACATCGCGCGTTAGAGGAGTGGAAAGTTGACGCCTGTACGTCCTCTGGGTGTTTGCTATACAAGAGGGACAAGAGGTGGCAACCTCCATCGACTTGGGCCTCACACGTTTCAAAAGTGGACATTCGGGGGCGTATTTACATTTTCGGTAAGGAAGGGTTGATTCCATTAAATCTTCGCTTTCCGGAAGAGTACTGTCGACCAGACGTGCGAAGTCTTCCGCCCACGTAACCAACAGATGAAAATCGCCACTGGGTGGTCGCGGGATGATCCACACATGTTCCTCTTCTTGAAAACGCTGCAAGTCGTTGAAGGCTCTACAGATCTCGTCCTAAAATAATCATTTATTAGTAATTTAAGTTATTAAAATTTTATTATATGTATAAATTTCAATATTTTTCTTACGTGAATTCAAATTTTTACGGCGGATAAAAAAAAACCAAGGGTAATTGTTTCAAAACCGATACATCATTTAAGAGGATAAAGCGGAATGTTAATTTTCGACGTCACTTCTTTTAAAAACGGTTCATAATTTCTGACATCACTACTATTGAATATAACGGAAACGACGTCAGAAATTAAATTGTTTAATTAATTCCTTCATTACTGTTTAAGACTCAAATTTTCTCAGACAATCTTCTAGTTATAATTCAATTATATACTTCTCTAATATTATAATGGAATTATCTGATTAAAAACAAATTTATTAAACTAATCTATAGAAAATGCAATAATTCATAATAAAGTTTCGTAAAATGCAAATCTCATTTGATCTATTCTCTCGTCAATTATGTTTAATTTAAATCAATTCTCTACCTTTGTGACATTATAATATGATTTATTACCAATAAAGAGCGTGAAAGATCATCGCGTGACCTTTAACATTTGACGAATAACACGTAATGTATTTTTGTGTCATCGTGTCAAGAATTCAAAATTTCAGTATCAGAGTTTCGTCCACTCAAAAGTTATACAAATTCTGACTAATACAGGCCTTACATTAGTCATTGTTTTTATTAGTCAAATTTGACTAATGGACACCGATTGACTTTTGGATGTTACTTTGAAAGTGTATATTTAGTTTTAATCATTTATAACTAAAAAAAACGGAATTTCTATTATTATATAAACACTACTTTCAAGTCGTAGTGGTTATTGATTGTCAAAACAACTCAAAACCGGAAACGGAAGTTCAGTTTTTCTAACACATCGAAGACAATATACCACAGTTTTAAATTTTCAAAGATGCATCCAATCAGAATAGATTTTTTTTTTTTCAAATTTGAAATCGAATAACCAATAAAATGTTATATATATAAATTGATAAAAATCTAATGTCAAAGATCTGTCGAAGATAATCTAACCACTAATAATTTGTAGCTCGGTATGACATCGTTTATAGTAAATTATAAAATTATCGATAATTACAATTTTATGTCTGATGTAAAAGACAGTCACCCCGGCTGAATGACCCATTTTATCCCTCCTCTTCCCATTTATATCCCGAACAGATAATGCCACTTCAATGTGACCAAATCGAAGTTGACAAGGCCAAATTCAAAATGTCCTTCTCGTAATCCTACTTAATCCCTGGTCCATACAAAAGTGTCATAATCTCCCTCGTCTATATATAAAAAAAAAAATGTCCATCCAGGTGCATCTCTCTCGTAGGAATTCGAAGCTTCTTGCACCAAATTTTTCCTATTTTTTAGTTATTTAAGAATCGATCAGTTAATAAGGAGATCAATTTTAAAAATTAAGGACATAAAGATGAAATAATTTTCTCGACGGAGGAAAAAACAAACATTATCAAACGAATCTAAAGTTGGGTTGGCATCTCAAGGTTATTATTAGATAAGAAATATGTCATTCGAAACACGATAAGAATCGCAGACGGTCGTTTAAATTTTGTTAACGTGTTGCCAGTTCGTTTGATGCCTTATTAAAACTATGTAACTATAAAAAATTAGCCGTAAGAAAGCAAAAAAAGTCTCTTACTCTTCGCTTCAACATGTTCCTCGTCGAGGTTGCCGCCGTCCTAGTTGGTGTCGACTGCGACTATCGAGCAAACGGTGTTTATTTTTGGACACGTTCCAACCCCCTGTATGGTCAACTTCTACGAACCGACTGATGTCACTGCAATATTTAATTCGCATACGTTCGGAAATTATACATCAAGAATGGTTTCGGATTCCGAACGGGAAAAAGCGGAAATAACATAGAAGAGGTCGTTCTCTCTGTAGGGGGGTGTTCGGTACTTTGATAAGTAGACGTTACGACGACAGAACTAAAAAAAAGGGGTAAAGTTCGAGACGATCGCTGAAAACTTTATCTTCGGGCCAGCAACCCGAGCAACCCAGTTCCGCCATCAAGGTGGATCTAGGAGCAAGCGCTGGTGTCTTTTATTGATACAAACGAGGACGTTGGCCTTTTCTTTTAATATCTTCTACCCCGCAAATGGTCGAATCTACAACACCAGAGCGGAGTGACGAGGAGCTTCTGTCGATTGTGGACGTATACGAAAAAATACGGATGTGGATAGATTGATATCAATCTCGATGAATGAAGAGTCGCGTGTGTTCTCTCGTTTTTCTTTTCTTCATTTCTTACTTTTGAGAGCATTCTCACAAAGTTATAATTTACATAATAAAAGTCTCAATTAATAAACGGGATAATAAGCTAAGATACGAACGTTATCGCGAAAGCTAATCACTATTCTTATTATTTTGCATATTATCCAGAAAATCTGGACATCTTTTACAGGTTTTTTTGTTCTACAAGAAACAAAAACACATATAAGAGATGTAATTAATCTTTTAGTCGAACACAGTATAATCATTATGTAAGGATAGTATATTATATACAGAATAACTGATCTTTTATTTATATCACATAACATAAAAGCCATCATCGTTTGATTCATTCCATTATATAAAAGGATAAAAGGAACCAATACTAATCACATCCGACTTCTAAAAAAGGAAAAAAAAAAACAATTCACTTCCTCTCTCTCTCTCGCACAATTTTAGTTTCCTTTTAAGAAAAAGATTCTTTAAAACCATTGGCTAGGGGGGCGAGAAGAGTCACGCGTATCCCTGGCCATCTATGTCAACTCTATTTTGGGAGTGGAGACGATTAGCGGTAGCGACCGACACCTATCGTCTCCCGACACACGCCCTCTCCCCATTAAGAGCCGATGTAATGGTCGTCTCCTACGTGATCGAGAGAGTGTCGTCGACCCGCACCCGGGCCTCTGTGACTCAAAGTGCCGGGACGTTGGCGAAAAAAAAGCGCCAGCTACACCCACATTTTGGGTCTTTTCGGGCCACCTCCTGCCCCAAAAATAAGCTCGACCTCGATTACCCGGGATAGCTATTAGAACTAATTGTCTCATTAAACTCTGCCCTCGTAAACGTAAATTAATGGAGAGATCTTCCCATCTCTCTCTCTCTCTCTCCTTCCTAAAAGCCTCTTTACAAGAATTCTCTCTCTCTCTTATCTGCTGGGAATTTTTAAGTGGCATGCCAAGAAAAAAAAAATCGTCCAAATCTTTAATTCCGCCATTTTTTAAATTAATTAATTAAAGTTAATTATAGAGATGACTTCAATTAAGAACACCATTATTTCTGTACACAAAACTAATTAATTTCTCGTTAGATTATTTACTCCTGTAAACGGAAGTAATGGATTACGTAATTGTGATAATGAGATCAAAAATATTCAATCGGGGACTACGTTTTAAAATTTTCGATCACGTAAAGGTAAATATGAAACACTCACTTGTGATTGGTTGGTTTTTAAAATTTATTTTTAAAATGCCGATCGTTTATTGGTTGCGTAACGTGTTTTTTTTCACGTTTTAAGAATTCAAAATATGCAACCTGATTAATGTGATTAAGAAATAAATATTATTATTATTATTTCCTAAATTTTATATTTCTTAATTTAAATATTTTAGAAAGTTTTATTCGATTAAATGGCATTTTTTATTATTATTTTAAATTTTTAAATAAATATTCACTCTTCTGTTGTATTACTGCTTCTTTCAAATAAATTTTGGAACGAATTAGAGTTCTTTAAATCTAAAGCCGAAATTTTGTTTCTATTAAAAATACATCAAATACAGGTCATTAGATTCCACACACAGCCATATATCAACAAGACGAAATATAAACCAATCGGAGGTCAGTATTTTAAAAATTCAAAAAAAGTGACCAATCGCGTGTTTTAAAAGTTTAAAATATCGTTATTTATTTTTTTTAAATATTCAAATTAAATAAATATTTTGTTACTTAAATAAAATCATTGTTTAGAATTTCAGAATTACATAATCTAATAATATGACATATTTTAAAATATCGAATGTTAATAATAATAACTTTGCTGCAAGTTTGTGAAGGATAAAATGTCTTCCTAGTATTAAAAAACTTTATTGAAAACATGTTTAACTCTATAAATTCTAGGATTGGATGAGAGTCAACTCTTGAATAGCGAGTGTATTTTTAATAGCGCCGAGTGTTGAACGAAAGATCAAGGTTCCGGATACGCCGCTAATTGATAGCTGTGTGTTATCTGGGGTCGGATTTTTGTGAACTAGACGACATTTCTCGTCTTTTCTCTTTTTTTTTTCCTCCGCCGCGATTACATCCAATGGTTTTTTTACACTCGGTCCATCCGCTTAAGGGTGGCTTTCTACCGACAAAATTCTTCGCCCGATACAAAAGCTGGCCCTGGAGAATTCCCAGGTGCGATACCTTTGTGCTGGAGAATCTGGGATAATAAACTAGGACAAAAAATATATGTATAAAGTTTTTTTTCTCTTACCTGAGCTCTCTCCAAATACTTCTCGATCTCTCTATAAGCATCGGTCCTGCAGTGAGAACCTTCCATCTTGGAGGAATAAGATATCACGTCCCAGCCATATTTATCAACTATAAATAGAAATTATTATTTATTTATTAAATTACGGTAGGATGTTGGGGGAATTTTTAAACCGTTAATACAATTAACTAGATAGAAAAGCGAAACCGTAACGAGCCCTCGACAGTTTTATCGGTTCGGTCACGCGTGATGTCGTCACGCTGTCTACTACCCCCGATTACGCGATTGGTCTATTGAGGTTATCCGCCGGATGTCAAAACTTTCTACTGTTCTAGTTTAAACGCTATTATCACGCGAAGGAAAAAAATAAGCAGTGGGAAAAAAGAGATTACGCTCCAATCGAACCTAAACTGATTTTCTCCACTTTAACAGAGCTTGTTAACTATAAACGTTTCGATTTAACCCGCTTAAAAACAAGACATTCCCTAAAGAACTCATCTAATGTTTGCACTAGAATGTTTCACGCACTACTTACCTTTATAAAAGGCCTATCTTAGAAGGTTTTATTTGTTTTTTATCGTGGAAGTCGCGCTCGACTGATTTAACTCAATCGACACCGCATAAAAAAGTCGTTACTTTATGCAAACATTCTCTTCTTATCCACCTATTTATCCTTATAAAGTTGGTGTTGTTCAAATCGTAACCTCTACAAAACCGTTCACTCCTGTATTTGCCCGTATTCCATACTTAAACGTAACAGAAGAGCTAACCCACTTGCCACCAACGCCCTAAAAATGAACACAGATTTGTTCGTTCCGCTCTCGATAGAATCTTTAACAACCCACATGAATACGACTACGGAGTAGTGAAAATCTGCTTACCATTAGCTGGTGCGCAAGGACAGATAGAGGGAAGGATGTTTCGCACGCCTCTCGCTCGTTAACTTCCTGCCTTCTACTTCTTTGAAGCCTTATCAGCCGATAATCCCATTGGTCATTCGACGCTCGTCGGTTGCATAAATCGTTTCGCTACATTAATTCGGGAGCTACGAAGAGGCCACTTTCGCCCTGAGACACCCGCATTTAAAGGGGGTGGACACTTTTAGACCGAACTCCTGCACCCTGAATTATGCGCCCTGCAGGGAACATCCCATCCCCCGCTCCACTCCAAAAAAACTGTCAGCCCTCTATGTCTAAAAACTGGTTTGATTTCTTCTGCTATACAAGACCGACTACCCCATTTCGGCATTTTTGAATTCCTTCTGTAGGTGTAACACAGTTACGCTCTATGGATTACAATTCCATTATTCTGTTACATTCGACTGGAACAGTTCTGTTTACCGCTTTTTTAAATTCTACAATAGGTTTCTGACGATCTTTACTCGGAAGAATGTTCAGTAATTAAAGAGAGATGTCACCATCCGAATTACGGATCGTTACTTCCGTCTTCACCCTATCTTTGTAATGTTACAGTGTTATACAAGACTGTAGTAATCGTATACATCTGGCAGTAACATTTGTAGAAGTCTCTACCTTAACGGATCCGCAAACAGCACGCAGATCATTCGATATGTAACAATATGCGTACACTCGATTATCTATTGTTTATATAAATTGTGCGGTTTAAACTACAACAACGTTGGTTGACTAGACACGAAATTATAAACCAATGGTTCAAGGTTGTTTCCGTTCCTTAACGTATGTAACGAGTGAAAGAAACGTAACACCTGTATGTATATGGTTAACGGCGGATTCGGTTAAACGCGTCCACAGGCGTCGTTACACGCGTAGACGCATTGTCCGCTACGAAACATCTGTCACACGTGTTAAACACGTCATCCTTGCCACTCCCACCCACGCTGCTCCACCTAGAGGCGACTTAGAGTTTGATTCAATATTGTCGTCACGCGGAGGAACAATTGCATTTCCAATTGACATAAATCACGTAACAATAACGCGAAGGAGGAGGCGGCATCTCTGCCCTTTCGATGCCAAATAGGAGCGGCTAATGAAGAAATGTTTGCACAAGAGAACGGGAGCGGCTATAAAGTTGTCAACCACTCGACGTTTATTTGACGTCCGGACGGATAACGTTTACTTCATTGACTTAATGTAAAGACGATACTCGTCCCCGGGCCAAAGAAAAATCCAGCCTTCGATGTCATCGCACGTCCCGAGGCGGCGTTCGTATCGGAAAGACGCGAATCACGTGACTCCGCCACTTTAGGGACCTAATAATCTCGTTCCCGTCGCAGAAAACAGGGTCAAAGGCCAAGATAGGAAGACCGAACGAACTGTATCGATATTTTTTTTTAAATAAACTCTTCAGCGCTATAAACGGGCGTGGCGTTAATTCGATTTTCCACTACCCCTATACTGTTAATCGCTAGCGAGGAAACTCACAGACACGCAAGTAACACACAATAGCGTCCTTGACATCGCCATTTTTTTGCTCGCATCATAATAATAATACGTTAAAAGTAGGACTCGCTCTCTAAATCTTTCGTTTCTATTCTCGCACGCATGTACAGTCTCTATATGTGTTGCGCGCGTACAAAGTTCGCGCACTCTGTGGCTTCAAGGCTAACCTACAACAACGGTCCGAGAATGCTTCGTCACCTTGTTTTCTTCCACACTGGCACGTACCCGCACACTAATCGAATTTTTCTTCGTTTATTTCCAGTCAAGAGACTTTCTCCCAGTCTCAAAATCATGCAATACCGGCTGTACTAGTTACGTTGACAAGTTTCCAGCGACGTTGTTACGTGTATGTGCTTATGTCCTGGTTTTTTTTACTTTTCTTTTTAGATCGTAACACTTTCGTTATCTAAATTTCCCTTAACGCATCTAAGGCCGATTGTAGTTAACCACAATACACTACAGATACGTATTTTCTGCGTTTGCCACGTAGAAACTAGAAAGGTAAAGCGATTCGCGCAGGATCAAAGCGTTTTTAGAGGACGAAGCAATTTTGGAAGAGTCGCAACTGCTCTGGCGATGCTCAAAATATTTTTTAGAATGATCGCGGCGAGGTTTTAAAGCGATTTTTCTAAAGGTTAAGAGTGATTTTTAGCGACTTAGCGAGGATGGTTCAATTCTTAATTTCATCTTATCGTGCAATCTGATGGGTTCGAGATGATTTTTCGAAGGTTAGAGAATTTTTTACGGTGTTTATTACGAATCCAGAGAGGTGGGAGGAATTGTCGTAAATGACCTATTTAAAAATATCGATCAGGGTTTATCGAACTTTAAAAAATTTTGTATAGTTATACCGGAAGTCGTACGAGTTTTATGGAGCTACTAACTTCGGGGAGGTCGATCGCACCAAAGTCGAGTCGCCAGCTTGGGGTGCCGGATGTATAATATAAAATCGCCACGGTAAAGGACGACATTGCGACTCTCGCAGTGTGTGGCGGAGTCGACGTAGGTGATAAATTGCTAAGAAGGGACTTACCCCGACTCTCGGGATATCCTGGAATTAACGACATAGGCAATCCTACTGGCGTCCCATCGTTGCACATGGTCCGTGTGGTTATCGTAGACGGAGACACGTTACATCCCTTCGGAGAAAGTGGTAGCGACCGGTTCTTGTGGCGTCCAATCAATGTCGGTGCATTGCGGCAGCACGTCGTACGTATTTTATGAATCGAACTGGCAACTTACGAAGAAGTTTCGGCTCGTAAATACGTCATCTCTCTCTCTCTCTCTCTCCCTTTAAAACGGAAGCGTGGGGCGATTTTTTTAAAGCAAATATCACGAGAGCGCGATTTTCGAGGCGTTGGAGCACCTCGCGCCCGAGCAACATGAAATTTATGGTTCTGAGATTAGAGCAACTTTCCAACTTAAGATTAGTTTTAAAAAATAAAAAAAAAAATGGCGGAACGATATAGTCGATGTTTCAAAGTCTGCTCCCGAGTATTATTTAATATTTGTAGGGTATCGAATATCCGACCTTTAAACCATTTGCGTGTCATCGACTTTACTTTCAGACATTATATATATGTATTTCTTGTCAATCGCTAAGAAAATAAACTCTGCTATGATCCGTGAATAAGTTTAGTACGTGCCAATGGGTCAAATTCCATTTTTTTCCCGCTCTTATCTGCTTTAAGTACTGCAGGAATCTTCCTCGAGATAAGAAATTACAAAATCGCTTTCGGATAAACAACTGGGTCGATAGCGAGCGATACGAGAAAATTTTTTTTTTTTTTTTTTGGGCAGAGAGTTATTGCTATTAGAAGTGAAAAGTAAATTTCTCGGGAAATTTATCCTGCTGCCAATTAATCATTCGGCTGCAAGGACATTTGAAAAACAAGGAACTTCCGTCTTTAAGTGCGTGTTTGTCAAAGTGTAAAAAATTTTAAACATTAATGTGCACTAAATCGAGCCTAGTCGCGAGTTTATTTTAGTACTGATACTAAGAAAACGTCAGGATCCATCCGAACAGAGGAATTTCGGCCAACCCAGCAATTACTCACGCTAGAAGATTGATTAGTCATTAAAACGTGAGGAAAAAAAAACGTAGTTTTCGTATTCTCCCCCACCAGAAACTTCATATTTTACACGTTTAGACGCCTGGGCATTGAAAATCTCTAGCTAATTATGCGGAAATAGCTAAGACCGATACCACCGCCAGCTATTTACTAGTATAACAGAGGGGGGAAAAACGTCGTTTAGCAGCAAATAAATGAGAGAAACGTCAAGAAGATGGACAGATATGGCCAACATTACGGCCACTTAACTCGACCGCGACCTCGCAAACACGTTCTGTAAGGCGGCCCTTCTAAATTATAGCTCCGAAAAGGTCGACGCGTGTCAACGTTGCTGAAGTATCAGAAAAAGGATTTTGTAGAAAGAAATTTGTTTGTTGCCTACCTACTAATTATCGGAACCGCCACACTTCAAAAGATGAACTCTGACGAGAAAAAGATCGCCGTGTTTAAGAGATTCAAAACGCACCAGAAGTCGCTGTTGTTTAGATTAGGCTTATCTCTCCACTTGCAAACGTGTTAAAACCACAATGGTTCTAATTAAATTATTTCTAAATATATTAATTTCTGATTTGCTTATAGTTAATTTATCAGTAAGTCGCAAACTACTAAGTTATTTCGTGTTTTAACATGACGTATCACAGTAAAAAATAATCTCGTGCTATATTGTACCTAACAATTACAGGAATCACTAAAACACGCTCCAACGAACATGAAACATTTGCTTGTTCGAGACAGTTGCGAAATAACTAATGCAATTTATTGTAGTCTTTTTTTTCCTTCAAGGATAAATCGCACGTTTTACACAAATGAAGTTGCGTGAGTCGGAAATAACTTTCAAAAAGGTAAAAAAACACCTAGAATTAAGTAATAAACATGTTTATTAAAGAGTATTTTAAGGAGGTAATTTTCCTTTCAGTGTCGATTTTAGAACAATTCCAGTCTTATCCTTGGAATTATAGATAGGACGTCTTGCTAGCAGAAGGTAATGAGTGAGACCATCTTGGAACACACTCAAACTCTTGGCACCTACGAGAAAAAGAATAAAAAATTTAATCCTTTCTAGTTTCAGTTTAAAGTAAAAAAAAAGTCGTACCCACCTTCAACATGTAATGAATCTTGTAAAACGAATGCGGAAGCTTCGGCGTATCTATACACCAGCAAGTTTTTAGTTCGGCTATCGACTAAGATGAAGAGTAACGAATCGTGAGAAGGAAGAGTAAGAGCAGCAAGAGCCACCACAGGTGTCCTAAGAGCGATTTTTTGATAACTGGAGAACGTTTGCAGCTGGCGATCGTATCTAGTAAGGAGAAAAACGCACTAAATTTGGACATTGTTCACAAAAAAAAGGTTACTCACTATCGCGCTCCACCCCGTCATCCCACATTATCTATTGCTACTAGCGCAACGGGCGTTAGTGGAAAATTCGCGATTTAAATAAGGAATAGAAGTGGGCGATGGCGCGATAGCGATCTAGCTCCAAAATTACTTTATTACTGTGTATAGAAAGAGTTAATGTGTTCCGTTCGTGCGTAGAGATGACCTTTACCTGTATATTGTTAAAGGCTCGATACGGTCTGTGTAGGGGCTTCCGTTCTCGCCCACCACCAGAAACAGGCGATGCCTCTCTTTAACGGATAAGATAGGCAAGAACAAGACGCACTTTGCATAAACTGAGGGTAGGGTTTGAGAAAGAAGAAACTTCCGTTCTCCGTGCCACAGATATAGATCCACGCCATCGTCTCGACAGTCGTAATCGATATTGTGCCATTTAGCAACCGCCAAATATGTTAAATTTTCGAAAGAAATGACGTCGACCTGAAAAAAAGGAAGAAGTAATAGTAATGAACGTTGTTATTAAAAAAAGAATAGTATATACAAGCCTACCTGATGAGATATTGATGCATTAAGACTTTGTACAAATCCGAATTTGTGGGAGAGATCATTCATGCAGTAGATCTCTACTCTCGAATCAGAAGAAATGTGACTACCACGTGGTAGAGACTCCGAAAAAGCTAGACACACAGACCGTCCAATGTGGAAGACTTCTACGTCAACGGCTGAATATATTGGTAATTGTTGGAAAGGGAAGAATAGACTCTGCAATTCCTTCCAAATGAATATTTGTGCAGCTGAACGAGATAATATTAAAAAAATTGTTTTTAAGAGAATGCTCCGGCATTGAGTAATTTATATATATTTATAAAGTACGAAATTAATTCAAGCCAAGATCACGAAAAATTAAGAACCTTTATAAGGGAGGAAACATTCAGATGCATTCGTATTGGTTGTCACCAGGAAAGTTTTTCCTTTGTACGTGAAAGTTTCCATATCTGTACCATCACAAACCGGGATAATCTGGAAGTTTTAGAATTAGTAAAAACAAAAAAGGAGAGAATAAATGGCAATTAAAAAAATTTAAAAAAAACCTCGTTAGTTTTGTGAAATAATCCCTGTTTGAACCAGTAAGTGATGATAGTAGAATGATTAGAATGACGAAGTGAAGTTAATAACACTAACAAATGATCGTCTTTGACTGTAGCGTGCAGTAAAAGTTGCGTGCGATGATGATAGAAATCCTTAACTTTTTCGTAGTAAGTTAACAGCAGTGTTGGACCTGAAAAATTTATATTTTATTAACAAATAAAACAAAGAAGCGAGAAAATTTAAGAAGTACGTACTGTGTACGATTCTGCAAAAGTCGATTATAGTCTCTTCTACCGTTTCTATGTGATAACTAACATCAGTAATTGTCCAATCTGTTACATTTATATCGTTTATAGTTCGATGTACCACGAGATCGAAAACTTCCATCTCTCTTTCGAATACCGACTCGTCGATTATCATCATCTTTGTATTATTCAATGCCAGTTGGAGGAAGTAATTAAATGGAATGCCGTTTATAGAATAAATTTCTAACTCATTTACACGAGTGTTACTTATGATTTTAGTCGAAGAAATATTCTGGTTTGGCGAAATTAACAACACACTTGACAAATTCACGTTATTCAGAAGGCCGTGAATTCTGTAAAATAAAAAGTATTTTAATCAATAAAAAAAAAACTCAAATTAAAAAAAGTAGGTTCTATTTACCTGATATTATCTATCGATAACTCTGTAAATATTCTTCTCGAGGTGTTTATAGTTCTATATTGCAACATAGATTCTAACCATTCTGTTACATTTATACCTTGAATTGTGCCCGTAATTAGAAAAGAATTAGTTACTTCTACGTCATTTTCGAATATGATCAGATTATCGAAATGATTGTTTCTGGATTTTATTGCAAAGTCCATCATATCATATTCGTTGAGGTAACCATATAACGTTACTTCTCCTGCAAAAACAAAAACAAAAAAAGGTTAGTATATAATTATACACCAAACCTATAAAAAAATTACCTTTAATTATTAAGTCTTCTATCGTAAAAGATTTAGTTAAAGTCCAATTCCCTGAAGTTCTCAGTCCATTTTCGTTGATATAAGTCATGTTTACCTCGTTGATTAATCCTTCAACAAGTAAACTTTCGATTGTCAGATTCTCTGAAAATTTCAGGTTACAAATTTAAAGTTTTTTTCTAACACTTTAAACAAAAAAGGTGAGAAGATATTGCTGAAGAAATTAGCAAGAGTGAAAATACTTAAATTCGATATCACGTACTATTAAAGAACGATGATTATTACTTACCAATCGAGACATTATCTTCAAAAATATAGACTCCAGTTACAGTTTGATCCTTAGTACGACTGAAGTAAGTCTTGCTAAGTTCTTCGATATTCATTCCACATAACGAGCCTCTGACATACAGATTCTATATAAAAAGTAACACACATTACCTTTCCTGTTAAAGTCTTTGTTTGCGTGTATAGCCTATACTTACGTCCTCTAAGAAAAGATTTTCGATATAAACGCTTGTATACTTGTATATCATCTTGGGATCAGTTGTGGCATTAGGTACTAAATAACTAGAATTTATATTTCCCTCCACCCGAATGTCTGATTTAAAGAACACTTTTCCCTCAACTCTCAAAGTAACAAAATTTCGATCGTCATCTGTCATGACGGTAGTGGTATAAAGTTCTTCGATGTCGACTCCATTTATAAAGCTAGAAACGTAGAGATCCGTTGTCGAAAAATATTTGACAAAATTTTTCCTAGCCGATATTATGACTTTTTCTTCGTTTCTATCAACCAAATCTTTGAATTCTATTCCGTTAATGGTATTAACTGAGCAATCTTCTGTTTCAACGTACAGAAAATGAAGGTAAGAGCTCGTAGAAGTAGTCTCTTCTACATTGATAATCTCCTGTTCGAATGTTTGGATATTTATGCCATTAAAAAATCCTTCCACTTTCATATCTATGTTTTCTTTTACTATATACAAGTCCTTTAGAAAGATGAGAGATCCGTTGATCGTCTGATCGCCTTGAAGCAACCAATTCCCAATATCGAAGTGAGTAGTTCTATCGATAGATCCTACTAACTTAACGCTTTCGAATATTGTTTTTTGAATGAAAGTCTTCTTTCCCGTTACGGTTTGATTATATTCGTCGATCAGAAGAGTGTCTTTCCAAATTTCGCTGATGTCCAGACCATTAAATAAATCCGTTTCTAAGTTTCCTCCTTCGATAATTACCAATTTTTCTAAAAATGTTTTAGTTCCTGTGATAAACTGGTGACCTTAAAATAGAATAAAATTCTGGGATTATTGAGGAAAATGTGCAAGTAAGAAAAAATGCAAACAAACAAGTTCTGGAATTAAGAAGTTTGGTAGAAACCTAAGGGAGAATAAAAATTACCTGAACGTGTTAAGGAAGTTTCCAGGAGGTTAACAATATCTAAACCATTTAAGAATTTAGAAGAAGAATTCATATTATCTATGTGTAAAGTTTCGGCTTCTATCAATTCAAATATTTTATTTCCGGTGATTTCAGAGTCCTCTGACAGGAGTACAATTTCTTCTACAGGAATTCCGTTGATTGCATTATGGACGATCAACTGATTTTCTACGTTAAGATTGTTGAAGGTTATCTTCGAGACAGAGAAGGTTTGGTTCCCGTGAGTCTTCAAAACGTAATGGAAATCAGAGACGTTGACATCGTTTAACAAACCTCCGACGATTACGTTTTGTCCAAATTCTATAAATTCGAACGTTTTCTTGCCGTGGACAAGCTGATGGCCTTCGTTAAAGACGAAATCTCGATAACAGTCCAAACCGTTAATGGTATTGCAAGTAAAGTTATTTACCTGGAAAATAAAACACGGTTAAAAAAAAGTACAGAAAGAAAATTAGGAGTAGGAGAATTTGTTCATGAACATCTTACAAAAGTTAGCTGCTTGAAGATGAATTTAATTGAAGGCATCCGAGTAGTATTGAGTTTTAATGCTTCTGTGGCTATTTTTTCAAGTTTGAAATAGGTAGAATATGCAAGTTTCGAACCATCCTTCAATATCACTTTAAAAATAAATAAATTAATGAATATAATATGTGAATTTATACACAAAACGTTTAACAATTTTACCATTAATTTGCATTTCTCTAAACTTCGAAAGTTCCTCATAAAACGCCACTAAATCAATTCCGTTAATTGTTCCTATGACGACGTTTCTGTTACTCTCAAACTTGATCTTGTTGAAAGTCCTTAATTCTGTTGAAATATGCAACAATAAAAACGAGGAAAGTTGTGGAGGAAAAAGAAAATAAAGTCACACATACCCTTTACTCTTTGTTCTTCAGATTTCAACAATATATTCAACTGTTTCCCATCTGAAGAAATCACAAGGATTAGTTATTAAAATAATGCCATTTCCCCTTTCAAAAAGTTACCTGCGCTTCTTTGAATGCCATTGATAGAATTAACTTCCAATTCCTTTATAAAACAAGAACTTTGAAAGATCTGTTTGCTTTCTATAACTATATCTTCGTCAATGAATATTACATCTGGTCCGGGAATCATGATCCCATTTACCGTTTTCTCGGCTTTAACTGTTTCATTGATTTGCATAATCTCAAATTTGTAAGGAGCTGTAAGAAATAAATAAAATTCTTAAGGTTTTCTCCCCTAAAAGAAAAGCATATGCGACATACCATATATATCCTGATCAGTGTCTTTCCATAAAATATGACTCCATAGTTCGTCAAAATTTTCATTATTGAAGTACTCTTCGATGGATATGTCTTCGACTTCTACCACCTCTATCTCTTTCACACCGTAAATATCGTAGTTTTCTTCTTCTAGAACTATTTCTGAGTACAAGTTGTTTAAATTTATTCCATTAAGTAAACCGTGGATTAACAATTCCTCTACTGTAATACTCTCGAAAGTCACGAATTGGTTAATTACTTGATGCTTTTCAGTTAGTAAAACTGAGTCTTTATCTATAGTTAATCCATTAATCTTCCCTCCAACAATTAGATCTTTAGTTTCGATAGAGGTGAAAGTTTTCGGAGATGCTATCAAATGTTCGCCGTTTTTGGTAACAAGTTGATTGGGAGAAAGATTGTTGATCTTATCAGCGTGCAAGTCGCTTTCTACTATAATCTTATCCACTTCTAGGCGATCCACTTCTTGTTTGTCATTTGTTAAGATGATATCCGAAGACAATCTTCTCACATCTTCACCATTCATGAAAGTAGTTTGGATCTTATCAACGTTACCATTGCGACTTTCTAAGGACAACTGTTTGAATTTGTAATGACCTTAAAAATTCAGAATAAAAAAACGAAAAAATTAACTTCTTGGTATTTATATATATATATATATAAGAAAGCAAACTGTCTACAAACTAACCTGTTACGGTTTGTTTCTCATTTAGTAGCAAAATTTTCTTCAAGTTATCTTGAAGATCAGCCAATTTATGACTTATCCTTTGAAGTCTCTCTTTTATATCTATTATATCTTTTTTGAGTCCCGTTATCATTTTATTAGTTGATCTTTCGATTATCTGAAAATGAACATTCAAATTAAGTTTTGCTTCTTTTTCCATCATAAAAAGTTTTAGCAAAGGGGAGGAGATTATTACTGTTTGTGTTACGACTGTGGTAGCTGCCATTTCACTTTCTAACGTCACGTTTTTATTTAGAATTATCGGTTCATCCTGATCGACTAAATAAACGTGCTTAAATTTATTTAACACGTATTCCACTTTTTTACTATAAGCAATTTCTTTCATTTCGTTACATCGTTTTAAATTCTCTTCGTACCATCTTTTTATATGGTTTTCGTGTCGAAACCACAACGAGAATGTCTTCCCACCACCACGAATATTAGCTAAACCTAAAAATAAATGGGAAAAAAAGCACACTTATTTTTTTCTCATCGCGAATTCTTTTAAGTAAATAAATGAAAAAAAAAATCATACTTAAAGTAGGTTGTAACTTGTCTGGATATATTAGGGTATGAAGAGAGAGATGAGAAATGCCATTATTCAACTCCCCATGGGAGTATTGAAAGGATAGAGTTTTAACAAACTTCCATCCGTTATATTGATACAGGCTTATACTTTCCATTGTAGCTATAGCCAAAAGAAATTCGCCTTTTAAGCCTTTAAACGAAGATAGATGTCTGGCGCGTACAGTCTCGATGCACTGAAAAGGAACGAATTTCCTCTTCACAAATTTATAGATTATGGAGTCCGTTTTATAATTTTTTTGACCTTTAACTGAAAAAAAAAAATAAATATATCTGAATTCTAAGTATAATTCCCTTAAAAATATTAAATGGAAAAACATTTTTTTTTACATTAGAAAATAAAATCATTGACTAACCATAAACTAATTCACTAGCTACAGCTAAAAAGAATTCTCTATGATCACCCTCTCCAAATGTGAAGAATTCGAAGTCTTTTGCCGCCGTCGTCTCTATTTTCTGTCGACTTTCCCATTTTTCAGTATGGATGTTGAATTTGTAGATCTCGGAATCAACACGATAACGATTTTCGGCAATTCTGTAATTGGCTATAGCTAAAAATAGACTGCTATGGATACGAAAGACCTCCAGATCGCTGACGTCGTAAGAAGTGACATTGTAAGGATCTCTATCAAAGTAATTTCCTAAAATTTCGACAAAGATTTGTTATTTTTAGAAATGTAGTCTGTTTTTAAGAGGGAAAGAGGGAACGTACTTTTCCAAGTGAAGAAGTTTGTTACACTTTTAAAACTAAGGCTGTTCTCGCCTGCATAATTAGCCACCGCAGATCCGTAATTACCAGATTCTCTATTGATGAAAAAAAAAGTATTTTTTTTTTTAAAAAAAGGTTAAAAACATTTAGGAAGATAAGAAATAAGAGTACGTTTTCCACATAGCTACAGCACTAGCATATTTATTTTCCTTAACATAGTATTCCTCATCGTTTTCGATCTCTCTAGTTTTGGTGTTATAGCTGAAAGATCTGCATATATCTATTAAAAAAAACAACAAACTCTAAGTTTTTTTCAAAGGAATTTGACTAAAGTTCAAAAAATGAATTAGTTACTTCTGCTGACAATATAAAACAAAAAGTTGCCATTCTGTTCTAAACATGCGAATCTTGGGTCTTCAAGATTTTCTAAAGGATGTCGCTTTTCAATCCCCTGGGAAGAAAAAAAAGTGTTAGTAATTAGTAAATCATTATTTTAAAAAATAAAATATGATTACTTACCTCATTAATTTTTCCTATTATTAAAGAATCTCGAGTAGAACAAATAAAATAAGTACTATTTTCAAAGTCGAGAAATTCTATTTGTATAGGATTATCGCAGATTTCATCAGCCGGAGTGACGTTAAATAGTTTATACATTCCTATTGAAATTAAAGAAATTCGTTAGAATACTCCTCTTCAATAGNCTTACTTTTGAGAGCATTCTCACAAAGTTATAATTTACATAATAAAAGTCTCAATTAATAAACGGGATAATAAGCTAAGATACGAACGTTATCGCGAAAGCTAATCACTATTCTTATTATTTTGCATATTATCCAGAAAATCTGGACATCTTTTACAGGTCATCTTTCTATCTCTTCGGATTCGGAATCTTGGTCCTCTTCGAATGGTAAATCCAGGTCACAGGAATCGAACGTCATCTCCTTTTTGAAGTTCATTTCGGAGGCGAAAATGTCTTCCTCGCTTAACTTCGCTTGAATGGATACGTCGTGATTGTCACTAACTTTAAAATCTTCACGAACGTAGTCATTTGAAGAATCTTCATAGTTGTCGAAAGAACATACGCTGGATTGTTTGAAGAGTTTCTTAAAGTCTTCGTTAGTAAGAGAAGTTAACCATCGTCCGTCGCAAACGTCCGTCCATTGAGTTTGAATTTCTACATCGCGCGTTAGAGGAGTGGAAAGTTGACGCCTGTACGTCCTCTGGGTGTTTGCTATACAAGAGGGACAAGAGGTGGCAACCTCCATCGACTTGGGCCTCACACGTTTCAAAAGTGGACATTCGGGGGCGTATTTACATTTTCGGTAAGGAAGGGTTGATTCCATTAAATCTTCGCTTTCCGGAAGAGTACTGTCGACCAGACGTGCGAAGTCTTCCGCCCACGTAACCAACAGATGAAAATCGCCACTGGGTGGTCGCGGGATGATCCACACATGTTCCTCTTCTTGAAAACGCTGCAAGTCGTTGAAGGCTCTACAGATCTCGTCCTAAAATAATCATTTATTAGTAATTTAAGTTATTAAAATTTTATTATATGTATAAATTTCAATATTTTTCTTACGTGAATTCAAATTTTTACGGCGGATAAAAAAAAACCAAGGGTAATTGTTTCAAAACCGATACATCATTTAAGAGGATAAAGCGGAATGTTAATTTTCGACGTCACTTCTTTTAAAAACGGTTCATAATTTCTGACATCACTACTATTGAATATAACGGAAACGACGTCAGAAATTAAATTGTTTAATTAATTCCTTCATTACTGTTTAAGACTCAAATTTTCTCAGACAATCTTCTAGTTATAATTCAATTATATACTTCTCTAATATTATAATGGAATTATCTGATTAAAAACAAATTTATTAAACTAATCTATAGAAAATGCAATAATTCATAATAAAGTTTCGTAAAATGCAAATCTCATTTGATCTATTCTCTCGTCAATTATGTTTAATTTAAATCAATTCTCTACCTTTGTGACATTATAATATGATTTATTATCAATAAAGAGCGTGAAAGATCATCGCGTGACCTTTAACATTTGACGAATAACACGTAATGTATTTTTGTGTCATCGTGTCAAGAATTCAAAATTTCAGTATCAGAGTTTCGTCCACTCAAAAGTTATACAAATTCTGACTAATACAGGCCTTACATTAGTCATTGTTTTTATTAGTCAAATTTGACTAATGGACACCGATTGACTTTTGGATGTTACTTTGAAAGTGTATATTTAGTTTTAATCATTTATAACTAAAAAAAACGGAATTTCTATTATTATATAAACACTACTTTCAAGTCGTAGTGGTTATTGATTGTCAAAACAACTCAAAACCGGAAACGGAAGTTCAGTTTTTCTAACACATCGAAGACAATATACCACAGTTTTAAATTTTCAAAGATGCATCCAATCAGAATAGATTTTTTTTTTTTCAAATTTGAAATCGAATAACCAATAAAATGTTATATATATAAATTGATAAAAATCTAATGTCAAAGATCTGTCGAAGATAATCTAACCACTAATAATTTGTAGCTCGGTATGACATCGTTTATAGTAAATTATAAAATTATCGATAATTACAATTTTATGTCTGATGTAAAAGACAGTCACCCCGGCTGAATGACCCATTTTATCCCTCCTCTTCCCATTTATATCCCGAACAGATAATGCCACTTCAATGTGACCAAATCGAAGTTGACAAGGCCAAATTCAAAATGTCCTTCTCGTAATCCTACTTAATCCCTGGTCCATACAAAAGTGTCATAATCTCCCTCGTCTATATATAAAAAAAAAAATGTCCATCCAGGTGCATCTCTCTCGTAGGAATTCGAAGCTTCTTGCACCAAATTTTTCCTATTTTTTAGTTATTTAAGAATCGATCAGTTAATAAGGAGATCAATTTTAAAAATTAAGGACATAAAGATGAAATAATTTTCTCGACGGAGGAAAAAACAAACATTATCAAACGAATCTAAAGTTGGGTTGGCATCTCAAGGTTATTATTAGATAAGAAATATGTCATTCGAAACACGATAAGAATCGCAGACGGTCGTTTAAATTTTGTTAACGTGTTGCCAGTTCGTTTGATGCCTTATTAAAACTATGTAACTATAAAAAATTAGCCGTAAGAAAGCAAAAAAAGTCTCTTACTCTTCGCTTCAACATGTTCCTCGTCGAGGTTGCCGCCGTCCTAGTTGGTGTCGACTGCGACTATCGAGCAAACGGTGTTTATTTTTGGACACGTTCCAACCCCCTGTATGGTCAACTTCTACGAACCGACTGATGTCACTGCAATATTTAATTCGCATACGTTCGGAAATTATACATCAAGAATGGTTTCGGATTCCGAACGGGAAAAAGCGGAAATAACATAGAAGAGGTCGTTCTCTCTGTAGGGGGGTGTTCGGTACTTTGATAAGTAGACGTTACGACGACAGAACTAAAAAAAAGGGGTAAAGTTCGAGACGATCGCTGAAAACTTTATCTTCGGGCCAGCAACCCGAGCAACCCAGTTCCGCCATCAAGGTGGATCTAGGAGCAAGCGCTGGTGTCTTTTATTGATACAAACGAGGACGTTGGCCTTTTCTTTTAATATCTTCTACCCCGCAAATGGTCGAATCTACAACATCAGAGCGGAGTGACGAGGAGCTTCTGTCGATTGTGGACGTATACGAAAAAATACGGATGTGGATAGATTGATATCAATCTCGATGAATGAAGAGTCGCGTGTGTTCTCTCGTTTTTCTTTTCTTCATTTCTTACTTTTGAGAGCATTCTCACAAAGTTATAATTTACATAATAAAAGTCTCAATTAATAAACGGGATAATAAGCTAAGATACGAACGTTATCGCAAAAGCTAATCACTATTCTTATTATTTTGCATATTATCCAGAAAATCTGGACATCTTTTACAGGTTTTTTTGTTCTACAAGAAACAAAAACACATATAAGAGATGTAATTAATCTTTTAGTCGAACACAGTATAATCATTATGTAAGGATAGTATATTATATACAGAATAACTGATCTTTTATTTATATCACATAACATAAAAGCCATCATCGTTTGATTCATTCCATTATATAAAAGGATAAAAGGAACCAATACTAATCACATCCGACTTCTAAAAAAGGAAAAAAAAAAAACAATTCACTTCCTCTCTCTCTCTCGCACAATTTTAGTTTCCTTTTAAGAAAAAGATTCTTTAAAACCATTGGCTAGGGGGGCGAGAAGAGTCACGCGTATCCCTGGCCATCTATGTCAACTCTATTTTGGGAGTGGAGACGATTAGCGGTAGCGACCGACACCTATCGTCTCCCGACACACGCCCTCTCCCCATTAAGAGCCGATGTAATGGTCGTCTCCTACGTGATCGAGAGAGTGTCGTCGACCCGCACCCGGGCCTCTGTGACTCAAAGTGCCGGGACGTTGGCGAAAAAAAAGCGCCAGCTACACCCACATTTTGGGTCTTTTCGGGCCACCTCCTGCCCCAAAAATAAGCTCGACCTCGATTACCCGGGATAGCTATTAGAACTAATTGTCTCATTAAACTCTGCCCTCGTAAACGTAAATTAATGGAGAGATCTTCCCATCTCTCTCTCTCTCTCTCTCCTTCCTAAAAGCCTCTTTACAAGAATTCTCTCTCTCTCTTATCTGCTGGGAATTTTTAAGTGGCATGCCAGGAAAAAAAAAATCGTCCAAATCTTTAATTCCGCCATTTTTTAAATTAATTAATTAAAGTTAATTATAGAGATGACTTCAATTAAGAACACCATTATTTCTGTACACAAAACTAATTAATTTCTCGTTAGATTATTTACTCCTGTAAACGGAAGTAATGGATTACGTAATTGTGATAATGAGATCAAAAATATTCAATCGGGGACTACGTTTTAAAATTTTCGATCACGTAAAGGTAAATATGA